AACCCCCTGCCAAGAAGCAGGAATATTGCATTCAAAGCACCCCTGACAGATGGCCATCTGGCTACATCACATTGTTGGCTCATGTTTAACTTGTTGTCCACGTGAACTCCAAGATCTTTTTCACACGTACTGCTCTCGAGCCAGGCATTGTCCCCCATTTTGTATCTTTGCATTTCATTTTTTCTGCCTAAGTGGAGTATCTTGCATTTCTCACTGTTGAACTTCATTTTGTTAGTTTTGGCCCATCTCTCTAATCTGTCAAGATCGTTTTGAATCGTGCTCCTGTCCTCTGGAGTATTGGCTATCCCTCCCAATTTGGTGTCATCTGCAAACTTGATGATCATGCCTTCTAGCCCTTCATCTAATCAGAGGTCGTCAAGCTTTTTAAACAGAGGACCAGGTCACAGTCCCTCAAACTGTTGGAGGGCCGTATTATAATTTGAAAAAAAAAATGAATGAATTCCTATGCACACTCCACATTTCTTATTTGTAGTGCAAAAGACACTTTAAAACAATACAATAATTAAAATGAAGAACAATTTTAACAAATATAAAATTAGTATTTCAATGGGAAGAGTGGGCCCACTTTTGGCTGATGAGATAGGATTGTTGTTGTTATTGTGTGCTTTCAAGTCATTTCAGACTTAGGCTGACCCTGAGCGAGGGCCGGATAAATGACCTTGGAGGGCCGCATCTGGCCCCCGGGCCTTAGTTTGAGGACCTCTGATCTAAGTCATTAATAAAAATGTTGAACAGGACCAGGACCAGGATGGAACCCTGCAGCAAACCGCTCGTCAGAAAGGTAGGTAATGATAATATGAATAATCATAATCGCCTTAGTCACCTCTAGACTGGATTACTGCAATGCACTCTACGTGGGGCTGCCCTTGAAAACGGCCCGGAAATTTCAGATGATCCAACGGGTGGCAGCCAGGTTGTTAACTGGGGCTCCTTACAGGGAGCGGTCATCCCTCCTGTTCAAGGAGCTCCACTGGCTGCCATTCATCTACCAGACCCAATTCAAGGTGCAGGTTCTTACCTACAAAGCCCTGAATGGTTTGGGACCCGCCTACCTGCGTGACCGCATTTCTGTATACGAATCCACACGAACCCTTGGATCATCCGGAGAGGCCCTGCTCTCGATCCCACCAGCATCGCAGGCGCAATTGGTGGGGACGAGAGAGAGGGCCTTTTCAGTGGTGGCCCCTCAACTCTGGAACTCACTCCCTAAAGACATCAGACAGGCCCCAACTCTGGTAGTCTTCAGGAGGAGCTTGAAGACGTGGCTGTTCCAGTGTGCCTTCCCGGAATAATAATCCCATAGAATTTTGTCCTCCAAAGCACTTTACACTTCTTTAGGTCTGCTCGTACGCCCTTCCACAAACACCGGTATCATCTTTCGTCCATGTCCCAGCATTATTTCCAATTTTAACTCTACATCTGGCCTTCCCACGGTTTTTAATCGTGTGTTGTCTTATTGATAATACTGTGTATTTTTATTGTCTATGTTTTTTAATTGCTTGTATTGTTGTTATTATTGCTTGTATTGTTGTGTTTGGGCTCGGCCTCATGTAAGCCGCACCGAGTCCCTTGGGGAGATGGTAGCGGGGTACAAATAAAGTGTTATTAAGCATCCCGAGCTCTGAAGATCACCTGGGAAGGAATCCCACTGGAGCATTGCAGCGCACCCAAATACCTGAGAGTCACTCTGGACCGTGCTCTTACCTACAAGAAGCATTGGCTGAACGTCAAGCAAAAAGTGGGTGCTAGAAACAATACCATACGAAAGCTGACTGGCACAACCTGGAGATCACAACCAGATACAGTGAAGACATCTGCCCTTGCGCTGTGCTACTCTGCTGCTGAGTATGCATGCCCAGTGTGGAACACATCTCAGCACACTAAAACAGTGGATGTGGCTCTTAATGAGACATGCCGCATTATCACGGTGTGTCTGCGCCCTACACCACTGGAGAAATTACACTGTCTAGCCGGTATCGCACCACCTGACATCCGCTGGGAAGTAGCAGCCAATAGTGAAAGGACCAAGGCAGAGACATCTCCAGCTCATCCCCTGTTTGGGTATCAGCCAGCACGTCAACTACTTAAATCCAGACATTGTTTTCTAAGATCTACAGAGACACTCGCTGGAACACCTCAGCAAGCAAGAGTCCAAAAGTGGCAGGCTCAAACCCAGAACCTCAACCAATGGCTGATACCAAATGAGAGACTCCCCCCTGGGCACACAGAAAACTGGGCGATTTGGAAGGTGCTGAACAGATTGCGTTCTGGCACCACGAGATGCAGAGCCAACCTTCAGAAATGGGGCTACAAAGTGGAATCCTCGACATGCAAGTGCGGAGAGGAGCAAACCACTGACCACCTGCTGCAATGCAACCTGAGCCCTGCCACATGCACAATGGAGGACCTTCTTGCGGCAACACCAGAAGCACTCCAAGTGGCCAGATACTGGTCAAAGGATATTTAATGAACTACCAAACTCACAAATTTTGTATTTTGTCTGTTTGTTTGATTTGTTCTGTTAGAAATGTAATATATTTGACTGGCTGCCATGACACGAGAAAAAAATCCTTGAAGTGACTGGACTGACCTTGAAGGAGCTGGGGATGGTGACGGCCGACAGGGAGCTCTGGTGTGGGCTGGTCCATGAGGCCACAAAGAGTCGGAGACGACTGAACAAATGAACAACAACAACAAGGGCCTTTAATCTGAGGCAGTCCCGGTGTCCCATTGGGCACACAGAATTTATGTCCTGTCTCAGGCCCGTAGCCAGGATTTTGTTTTGGGGAGGGGGGCTGAGTCTGAGTGAAAGAGGGTCTACCCTAGCAAACCTTTTGTATCATTACCCCAATACCCCCATGCATATGGTATATTGAGCATGGTGATCAGATCATGATATGAATAAACATAACAGTTTAAATAATGCACCAGTAAGGCCTTTTCGCGAACCACCATGACCTGGGGATCACAACCAGACACAGTGAAGACATCCGCTCTTGCGCTATGCTACTCTGCTGCTGAGTATGCATGCCCAGTGTGGAACACATCTCACCACACTAAAACAGTGGATGTGGCTCTTAATGAGACATGCCGCATTATCACGGGGTGTCTGCGCCCTACACCACTGGAGAAATTACAGTGTCTAGCCGGTATCGGACCACCTGACATCCACTGGGAAGTAGCAGCCAATAGTGAAAGGACCAATGCAGAGACATCTCCCGCTCATCCCTTGTTTGGGTATCAGCCAGCACGTCAACGACTTAAATCTAGAAATAGTTTTCTAAGATCTACAGAGACACTCGCTGGAACACCTCAGCAAGCGAGAGTCCAAAAGTGGCAGGCTCAAACCCAGAACCTCAACCAATGGCTGATACCAATGAGAGACTCCCCCCTGGGCACACAGAAGACTGGGCGACTTGGAAGGTGCTGAACAGACTGCGCTCTGGCACCACGAGATGCAGAGCCAACCTTCAGAAATGGGGCCACCAAGTGGAATCCTCGACATGCGAGTGCGGAGAAGAGCAAACCACTGACCACCTGCTGCAATGCAACCTGAGCCCTGCCACATGCACAATGGAGGACCTTCTTGCAGCAACACCAGAAGCACTCCAAGTGGCCAGATACTGGTCAAAGGACATTTAATCAACTACCAAACTCACACATTTTGTATTTTCTCTGTTTGTTTGCTTTGTTCTGTTAGAAATGTAATATATTTGACTGGCTGCCCTGAAACGAGAAAAAAATCCTTGAAGTGACTGGACTGACCTTGAAGGAGCTGGGGGTGGTGACGGCCGACAGGGAGCTTTGGTGTGGGCTGGTCCATGAGGCTACCAAGAGTCGGAGACGACTGAACGAATGAACAACAACAACAAGGGCCTTTAATCTGAGGCAGCCCCGGTGTCCCATTGGGCACACAGAATTTATGTCCTGTCTCAGGCCCGTAGCCAGGATTTTGTTTCGGGGGGGGGGGCTGAGTCTGAGTGAAAGAGGGTCTAGCCTAGCAAACCTTTTGTATCATTACCCGAATACCCCCATGCATATGGGATATATTGAGTATGGTGATCAGATCATGATATGAATAAACATAACAGTTTATATACTGCCCCCCCCCCCCGGTGGCGCAGTGGGTTAAAGCACTGAGCTGCTGAGCTTGTTGATCGAAAGGTCGCAGGTTCGATTCCGGGGAGCGGCGTGAGCTTCCGCTGTCAGCCCTAGCTTCTGCCAACCTAGCAGTTCGAAAACATGCAAATGTGAGTAGATCAATAGGTACTGCTCCGGCGGAAAGGTAACAGCGCTCCATGCAGTCATGCCGGCCACATGACCTTGGAGGTGTCTACGGACAACGCTGGCTCTTCGGCTTAGAAATGGAGATTAGCACCACACCCCAGAGTCAGACATGACTGGACTTAAAGTCAGGGGACTACCTTTACCTTTACCTTTAAGGCCTTCTTGCGGACCACCATGAGAATTTGGGGGGGGGGGGCTGAAACCCCCCAAGCGCCCCCCTTCCCCTGGCTACATGCCTGTCCTATCTACAGTCTTATGCACAGGCCCGGCCTGCGACAGCACATCCTCGCCCTTTGGCATCAAGGGAGTCCGTCCAGGATGCTCCCCGCCCCGTTCTCTCTCTCTCCTTCCCACCTGCCACTGCTAGAGGAGCCTGCCTTCGCTCTTCGCCCTTCGCCCCTTCCTTCAGCTGCCGGCTGGGCTTCGGCTCCTCCCGGCTGTCAACAGCTGAAGAGGCGAGGAAGGAGGAGGAGGAGGAGGCGAGCCGGGCGCAACAGGAGCGAACCCGGGGGCGCCCCCTCCTCCTCCTTCTCCCCCCTTCCTTCCCAGTCGTGAGAAGAGAAATTAAAAAAGGGGGGGAGGGGGAGTTACTTCTCAAACCTTCGAAGTTACCACAAAGGCAAAAGGCGCACTTTTCTCAAGCGTCCGACGCCAAGCCCCCCCAAATAGGGCCTTCCTTGTTGCTTCCTTACCCGCCGCGCTGAAGCCCCGTCGTCTCCATGGCTTCTCCTCCTCCTCCTCCTTCTCCTCAGCGTTGCTTCTGAATGAAGTTGCGACGGAGGGACGGGGCTTGGTCCAAGTCCAGTGGGCGCGAGCCGGAGTTCCTTTGGCACCGACCGACCGACCGCGCACGCGCGCGCCTCCCCTCGCGCCCCCGCAGCCTATTTCGATCCTGGCAGCAGGTCCTGGCCGCTCTCCTCCATTCACGCTCCCTCCTTGCGCCCGAGGAGGGCCGGAGCGCCAGCAATAAGCACAGGCGCCGCCTCCCTCGCCTCGCCACCCGGCCCTCCCTTGAGCCCACGGCGGCGGCGCCTCCTTCCTTCTTGGCTGCTTCTCTGGCCGGGGCACGATACAATATTTATGCCTCCCCAAGAAGGTGTTTTCTTTCTCCGCTTGAGGAAACCGGCTGGAACGAGATGAACGCCTCAGCAACAGGCACCCTTCGGTCCTTTCACAGGTGTCGCAGGGGCTTAGCGACCATTATGCAGGTCGCTCCTGACTTTCTCAAGTTCCTAACCAAAGAAAAAAAGCGACCATTATTTGCGCCAGTCCTATAAAAGCCCTGTTTCCTCAGAGTACGCGGTGTATTAGTGCGACGACTTCAATAATAATGCACACTTGTGGACAGAAGTTCCAGTCAGACAGGACTTACGTGCTTCCCAACAAGCACACGCGTCTACATCGAGGCTGGGAAGTCAACGAGCGCACTCTGGGCTTCGAAGGGGAGGGGGAGCCGCGGCGGTGCGTTCCTCGCTCGCGCACGGAGCTCCGGGAACAGGGCGGCCCCGCCCACCAAGGCCGCGCGGCTCCAATTACCTGGCCATTGTGCGGCGCGCGCTCGCTCCCTCGCTCGCGGCCATTCCCAGGCCCACCCGTGAAGCGGAAAGGTCAGCGCCCGGCTCTTCAACGGGGGAGGGGGGGGGGAGCGGATAGCACGGCGTTTCTATGGGAAGGGGAACACAATCAACCAAAACCTTATTTGTATCCCGCCCCCTCTCTTGGTGGGGACTCAGGGCGGCTTACAACATGAAATCTATATAAATAGAAAGGTAATGCTAGTTTGTGGGATTAACATAACTCAAAAACCACTGGGCGAATTGACACCAAATTTGGACACAAGACACCTCTCAGACCAACAAGTGACCATCCAGTGGTTCTCAACCTGTGGGTCCCCAGATGTTTTGACCTTCAACTCCCAGAGATCCTAACAGCTGGTAAACTGGCTGGGATTTCTGGGAGTTGTAGGCTAAAACACCTGGGGACCCACAGGCTGAGAACCACTGAAATTATCTTCTATCTATATCAGTGATTCTCAACCTGTGGGTCTCCAGGTGTTTTGGCCTACAACTCCCAGAAATCCCAGCCAGTTTACTAGCAGTTAGTGAAGTAGGCCTCAAGGGTCTCTGAGTAAGGGGCTTTTGGGTAAAAGCAAACAAAAGCCTCAAGGGTCTCTGAGTAAGGGGCTTTTGGGTAGAAGCAAACAAAACCAGCAATTTTAGCAATAAACTGAGCTTCGAAATAAAACAGAGGCCACGTGTACAGAAGGTACTTTTCCATCAAAAAGGTCAAAATTATTTTTTGCATAAAAGGTGTTTTCCCTGAGCTCTCTGTTTGTAAAATGGTAATGCTATATAAAGTTGCAGATTTTCAAGGGACGGACGGCAGTCATTTGAAGGTAACTTCTGTGCAAGTTGCCTGGCTGTCCGTCTTCTTCATGAAGAAACTAAAATAAAACCTTGTTTTTTAATCTTTCATTGGGACTGTCTCCATCATTCCGTGCTCCCGCGACTGGACCTAAAAAGACCCAAATTTAGGGTCTCTAACATTAGGATTTCTGGGAGTTGAAGGCCAAAATCTCTGGGAACCCACAGGTTGAGAACCACTGATCTATATAAATAAAAATTTCAATATGAACAATACAATTTTATTTATTATGTGCCTCTCCTTTCAGCTCAAGGCTGGGCACAGCATAGTCAAATCAAAAACATTCATAAAAACACCAATTAAAATGTAGTTAAAATGCAGCCATAAAAGCAAATATTAAAACATAAACATTAAAATGTTTGTGACGAAAGTTAAAAGCACAATAAACATAGAATGTGATTTAATAGTCATAGTTATAACTGACTGGGTAGGACGGCAGGAAGAAATAGGTCTTCAGTTGTGTTTGAAATTCCAACAACTCACCATTAATTACAGTTGAAAGCATATTTGCATATTAATGAGAATGATGTGCTTGTTTGTTTTTACATAAAAGTATTAAATCTTGATTGAATATTTCATACTGCAGGACGGAGAGCATCCTCAAAGTTCTTCCTGCAATGCTAGCATGTTTGTTTTGTAGCCCAAAGCAGCACTATATACTCAGCTGGCTTCCCTTTTTTCTCCTGAAGTGGGGGAACACAATGGAGTGCTTGGAGTGGGAGGTGTCAGTACTTCCAACATTACAGGTTCCATGTGCCTGAATTAGATCCCTTCCCGAAGGCTTTCATAGCTATTTTATTTATTTGTCGTGTCAGAACAACCAGTCAAATTATATTACATTTCTAACAGAAACAAAGCAAACAAGCAGATTACAGAATTTGTGAGTATGAGAGTTGATTAAATGTCCTTTGACCAGTATCTGGCCACTTGGAGTGCTTCTGGTGTTGCTGCAAGAAGGTCCTCCATTGTGCATGTGGCAGGGCTCAGGGTGCATTGCAGCAGGTGGTCAGTGGTTTGCTCTTCTCCACACTCGCATGTCGAGGATTCCACTTTGTGGCCCCATTTCTGAAGGTTGGCTCTGCATCTCGTGGTGCCAGAGCGCAGTCTGTTCAGCGCCTTCCAAGTCGCCCAGTCCTCTGTGTGCCCAGGAGGGAGTCTCTCATTTGGTATCAGCCATTGGTGCAAATGTGTGCAAATGACATCAATTTCTTCCTCCCCACTCCCCAAAATCAAATAGAAAGTATAAACCTTTTTTTCCCTGCACAAGTTGCAGGCAATTTTTTGAACTTTTAAAGGCAGATTTCAAGTTATTCCGGTTTATAAACCCAAGTTAATTTTTAGAATCAAAATTTTGAAGGGAAGTATTGTGAAATTTAAAAAACATCAAGCAAAATCAGCATGTGCAAGGCTTGCTAAACAAGGCTCTGCCGTCACACCCAGACCCTATAAAAATAAAACTAAGATGTGCTTCTCTCTTTGTCTGGGTGGACCGTGGGGTCTTTCTTTAGAAGCTTGAGATTCCCAGCAACTGAGGCTACTACAGGCTTTGAACATCAAAACAGAATATTTATTTCTCAAGGTCCTTGCAGACTTAGCACAGCTTGTTAAAATTACAGACAAAACAGTCAACTGGTGAAACCACAGAGATGTTCTTTCTTTCCTTTTTCCTCTAGTCGCTGAGCTGCCTTCATCCAAATGGTAGAAAAAATCCTGAGATCTTTTTACCCCAACCCTGAGCCACTATCTTTTAGAAAGCGTAGGCCTTCCCTATTCCAGCCCAAGGTTAGTTTTGGAGATGAAGCAAATAGTGCTCAATAACTACAAGGGGTATTTATAAAGTAAGGTCCGTTTTGTTGTAGACACTAGTAGTTCGCGCGCTTACCGCAACGAGCGCGTGCATCGTGTACCGGCATACCTCGGGAACAACTGTGCTCAGTTTCCGCTCTGTAGCTAACCTGTACGGTTCTGTTCTGTGCTTTAAAAATGTTTAAGACTATCAACTCACCCTCCGCATGTGAGGTTCGCTCAGTGATATGGTTTTTGTCAGCAAGGAACCTGCCTGCTGCAGAAATTCATCGACAGATTTGTGAAGTGTACGGTGATACTGTTATGAGTGAAAGCAAAGTGCGTAAGTGGGTACGACAATTCAAAGATGGCCGTGACAACGTCCATGATGAGGACCGCTCCGGTGCCCTTCTTTGATTACAGACGGCAGTGAACGCTTGGTTATCGGAGCAGGTGGCAAGTTTTTACGAAGAGGGTATTTTAAAATTGGTTCAGAGGTATGATAAGTGTTTGAACAAACTCAAAAATAGAGTGAAGTATGTACTTTCTGAAAATAAATTTACTTTTTTGAAATAAACTTTCGTTGTTTACTTACATTCAAACAGACCTTACTTAAAAAATACCCCTCGTATTTCTCAATAACTCAATATCTATCTATTAGGCCTGGGTAACAACGGAAAAATTTGTTTCTAAAATCGATTCGTTTTTTGGGGTTTTTTGCGTTTCGATATTTAAAAGAATTCCGAAATTTTTCTTTTAAAAAGTTCGATATTTACGAAATTTCGTAAATGTTAAAAAAATTACGAAACATTAACGAAACAAATACGAAACAATAACGAATCGATTCGTTAATGGCGGACGCGACCGCGCAATACGCTAAAAAACCTCCAAATGGGACAGGGGGAACTTCTGAAGCTTCCCTCTCCCTCTGTTGTTGACTGTTGGTTTGATATTATAATTTTTTTTCACTAATTAAACAAAAAACAACTATAAAACTTGCCCCAGACATGCGGAAATAATAACGAAACGACCTCAAACCGATAACGAAACGAATACATAACGAATCCGAAGCATTTACGAAACGAATTTAAAAATTCGTTTCGTTTTTAAGTTGCTCCAGAATGGTTCGTTATCGCTTCGTTATAAAAAAATAATGAATTTTTAACGAATTACGAATTAACGAAACGAAACCGCCCAGCCCTACTATCTATAACTCAATAGCTCAATTACTCAGTTGCTATTTTATCTATCTCATTTAGCTTCTTTATCTATATAACTCAATATATCTTTCAATCTGTAACTCAATTACTATCTATATCTCAATCAGTATCTATGTCTCAATCTCAATCTATAGTATCTCAATTGTTCTTACAGTGGTTTTTTCAGAGTTACCTGCCTGACCAACAGAACACCCGAAGCTTTCTTCCCTACTGAAGGAGGTAGGGGAGATTCCAAAATGGAGATCTCAACCCAGGAAAAAGGGCGGTCTCTAAACCCAAAGAGATACTTTCTGAACCAATAGCTGCAAAAGGGGCCTGCAGGCTGGCTTTCTAGCCTCTAATGCTGTTAACTTTCAGAGTGCAACTGAGATTGTAGCAACCATGGGGAAATGCAAAGGAACACTATCCCATGCAACTAAAAGTTAGTGCAAACTATGCTCCTGGAAGACGGAACAAAGGCAGACAGATTTTTTGGCTGACTGCCCCTCCAAAGGATGCCTGTAAAAGAGGAAGGTACGGTACTTTTGTTGCCTCAGGAGAGAAGGGTGGAAGGGAAGAGGAGAAATCAGAAAGGAAGAACTAGGGGAAGAAGGCGAAAGACACCCAGGGATGGCTTTGCAGTGGAGTTTGGCTGTTGCGCTCTTTCTTTTTGTCCATGTAAGAAAAAGACTCAGAGGGGAGGGGAGAGCGAATGTGCATGCGATCTTTCAGCAAAAGAAGGGTCAGGGTTACAGCTGCTAGATGTATAGCCCAGCTTTATTTTGCAGCTGTTCCCTGATTGCCAAGTGTTCGTTATAAAGGCATCAGGACTTTATAAGGCTGGATTTACAGTGCTAGTCTATATCCCAGGATCTGATCCCAGAATTTCTACTTTGAACCAAATTATATGAATCTGCACTGCCAGATAATCTGGGATGATTAGATCCTGAGATATAGGGCACTGTAGATCCAGCCTCAGGCCTTCCTTATCTTGCCTGTATTCCAGTAGGGGCTCTTCTATACAGCCCTATATCCCAGAATATCAAGACAGAAAATC